AGTGTAGTCATTTCTCATTGGTGAGCCCCTGACTAATGTCAGGATTAAAGAGTGCATCCTGCAAGGTTTGGTTTTCATCTCTCATGCTCATTAAAGCAAAACACTACAGCAGAAGGGAGAAAAAGTGGCATGGCAGAGCCATAGAACATTCGGCACCCTGCTTCCCTTCCAGAACCCTACTCCCAGCTGGAATTTGCCTTGCTACTTTCTAGCATTCAAATCCGTTATTAGGGACATTTTTTCAGAAAGAAAATCTTGGGGGAGAATCTTCCATCTGAGACAGAGAATGGCATATGCAAAGATCCCGTTTCAGATTACCCATCATTGAGCCATCTCTTCAGTGAAAGCACCCATCATCAAACCAAAAGGAGAAGGAGGTTCACAACAGTATAGCATTGTGAAATCCAGGTGCTGCCCACACAAGCTGTAAAAGAAGGGCTCAATTTGGTCAATTCAATGAAACTCCATTAGTCAAGCCACTTGCTTTGGCTTCTTTTCATACATTTAAGACCAAGTTAGTTAAGCTTTGTCATAGATTTAGATCAACTTAGTAGTGTCTGAATTCAAATGCAAAGATCTGAATGTGAAGAAAATCCATCCATCAGAGGTAGCTATCTCCAATACACACACACACACACACACACACACACACACACACACACACATACCCCAGTCAAAGAAGACAGGCTAGTGATCTAGGTGACTGGATGAGGCAAAGGATGGTCCCAGGACCCAGTGGGGTTCAGACCCTGAAGAATAAGTAACCAGCACTTCCTCCCTATAGTTCTCATTTCCAGATCTTCAGATGCCTGGCTTTGTCTCTGTGCACACCACAGGCACAAGGTAGTTGTTCAGCCCCCCTCAATGAGTGACAATCTGAGGAGCCCAGGGAAGATCTGAGGTGGTGGAACCCTAGCCCTCTCAGCCTTCCCCACAAACCCAGGACTCCAAGTCCTTCAGACACTCCCCATTAGCTGTCAGATTACCCAGTCAAACCCCAAGGGAAGAGAAAACCCTCACAGTAAATTCCATCACAGAAGTTAAGGTAATGCTAGTAATTGTGTTCTCCTAGTCATACCAATTCACCTCCATTCTGAACAGAGACATGCCTTGTTTATCCTCATATCCATATCTTCCAGCACAGTGCCTGGCACACAGTAGGTGCTTAGTAATAAATGGTGAACACAAGAGTTCACTACTATTGTTGGTCTCATCTATCCTGTACTTAGGCAATAACAAAGCTAACACTTGCAGACCTTGGGGAATGCCTGGCAGCTGGGGGTGTGAGTCTCAGCCCTGTATCACTTAAGGTTTCCATGGTCCTTTGCCCTCTGTGCCCATTCTAGCACTTCAGTCCTCAATGAAAGTACTAAATTGGTTGATTATATGCTAGTGATCCGAGTTTCTACCTTGTTGACTTTCTATGGGATATAGGAGGGTTACCAAGATTAAGTATAAGAGTGTCAGGGTACCTAGGTGGTTCAGTTGGTTGAGCATCCAACTCTTGATTTTGGCTCAGGTCATGATCCCAGGGTCGTGGGATCGAGCCCCGTGTTGGGCTCCACACTGAGCATGGAGACTGCTTAAGATTCTCTCTCTCTCTCTCTCTCTCTCTCTCTCTCTCTCACCCTCTGCCCCTCTCCCTCACTTGTGTGCATGCCCTCTCTCCCTAAAAAAAAAAAAAGAGTGTCATGATCAATGCTGAAAATAATTGAACCCACAGCATCTTCCCCCCCCAAGTGTACACACTCTACCTACTCATCTTCAGCCTTGTCAGGCTAATCCTCCATAAATGTCTGCCACCCCTGTCCCCCTTGCTGGGGCTCCCGTTCTCTGTTTTAGACCCATACTCAGAGCTCAGGGCTTTCTGGATAACCTTCGGGATCCCTGAATATCTTTTCTCATCTAACCCCTGAATAAGATTTTACTACATTAGGGGAAGCAAAAAAGTCATGGTTGGATTTGCTTCTTCTTCTTTCTTTCTTTCTTTTTTTTTAATTTTTTGCAGAGAACAAAGCTGGCTTATACTCACTGAGTTCTTGGGGTGCTGGGGGGGGATAGGGAAGAGACCTGAGTTCCAGTCGTGGCTCTGTCTGGAGCCTTGCATCAATGGTTGTGAAGTGCTCAGATTTATATAAGACAGATAACTCTGTGACCTCAAGGAACTTATCATCTAGAGAACTCATCATAATACCCCCAAGGTTCTGGGAGACATGATAACACGTACACACAAAGAGATAATGTTTCTTAGGATCTTAAGTTCTTGATCTGTAAATATAGGGGGTCAGGCTGCTCAAGAGCAGATATTGGTTTTGCTTGGACCATTTTATCTGGCCAGTTTGACTTTGAACATCCAGGTGTCCAGCCATTCTAACTAACTGCCTGATCAGCACATTGCTACCTTCTTGGCTTCTATAGGCATTGGAGTTTGTGACTTCCCTAACATGGACAATCTCTAAGCCATCTTCCAGGTTTGAGCCTCAGTAAGAAGTAACGAACAGAGTGGCTTTCAAACAAGCCAGGGAGGGTACACCAAGACAGAAAAGCGTATGCAATTCCGCCAGTCCCAAAAGGGACGTGGCAATCCACAGAGCCAGGCTGGACCTCTCAGCTTCTTTGCCTTCCTGGTCTGGCTCTAGGAGAAGTGGAAAGGGAGCCCCTTCCTGGCCTTCCCTTCTCTTCTCCCACCCTCCCTTTACAGACAGCTGGTGGGCAGGGGGGCAGAGCCAACAAGCCCAGCTCTCAGTCCCACCTGAGTCCCAGAGCTTTCTTCAAACAGTCTTCTCCTACGCCCTAGGTCACCATTTGGCACCAAGCCCTTGCTGTTTTGTACGGCCTGTGCTTTTCCCCATTATGTTCTCCCTTCCCAAACACACACATACACACACGCGTCTTCTTTAGATCAAATCGGTGAATTTAGCAGCCTCTCTGGGCATGGGCTCAGCCCTGTACACCTTTGTATCTACCCACATGTAGTCTGGTGCATTGCACACAGTAGGCACTTAAAAAGTGTTTGACGTCCAAGTGATAATAATGCTGGCTATTGTCGGGTCTGGAGGACAAAGGCTCTGGCACTGACTCCCTGGAAAGAGAACAGAGTTGGAAGCTCTGCCACCCCCTCCCCAAACTGCTGCTGGCAGCTATTGATATCAGGAAAGGAGTTGCCCTCCTGCCCCTACACACACACTCTTTCCTAACCTGGCATCTTCTTGCCGAGCAGGTCTCCCAAAAACAATGCTCACTGTCCTCTGGGTGACCAAGTGGCAAATTCCCTCTCTTTGATATTTTATCGCCCTTCCTCCTCTGTTGGGAGTCTACATTTGGAGCAGGGTACTGGTGGGTTTTCCCAAACTGTTTCTTAAGCAGTCCTCCCTTTCCTAGATGTGAGGTCCAGTTCTCAGGCTCAAGTTCCCCCCTGCCCCAACCTCAAGGTCACCTATCTAGGCTCAGAAAAGGTGAGAGGTCACTTTCAAACGTCAAGAAGAAATGGGGGGGGGGGGGACGGCGGCGGGGTAAGTGAGGGGAATGAATGGGAAAAGATAGACTATGAGATGAGGGAGAGTGGGGGTGGGGAGGCCGGAGTCGCAGGCGTGGAGGGCGTGTGAGAGGCGCCGCTGCTTTCAGAGCAGAATGAGGCCGAACTGGGAGGATGGGGAGAATAGGAAGCGGGGTGACTGGTGGAAGCAGACTGGAATCGCTAGGGGCTGAAGGAAAAGGATGGGGGTTGGAGGCACAAAAGGTAGGGTCGCGGTGGGGTCTAGACCCAGGCAAGCCTCCACGCCTCCAACCCCATTCGCGTTTGCTCAGGCACGGGACCGGGAAGGAGCGCGTCCCGAGGGTGGGCAGCCCTCTCCCAGCTCCTGCTCTCATCCCCGCCGCGGAAAGCCTGCAGAGCGTCGCGGGGGTGGGGGCAGAGACCGGCGGCTACCCGTCCCCGTCCGGCTCGGGGCCCACTCCAGCCCGGCGCGGCGGGGCGGGCGGGATGACCCGCGGACTCGGCACAGGGGGCTGGGGAGGAGGCAGGAACCGCGCTTCAGGTGGCTCCTCCTCGTTGTTTAAAGTTTGCGGCAGGCGGAGGAGCCGGCTCTGTCCTCCCACCGCCGCCGGCTCGCGGCTCCGCAAGGCAGGGTCGCCTCAGCCTCGCCTTCTCCCCCGGCGCGTCCTACCGCCACTTCCCTGTCGGCTCCCGCCCCGCGCGGGTCCCGGATCCCCTCTCCTGTCTCCATCCCTCCCGGTGCCCGAGCGCCCCCCGCTCCCTCCCTCCGCGCTGGATCTCCCGCACGACGTGAGCGGAAAGTGAATGAGCAGCCCCAACCACAAAGACGAATTACCATGAGAAAAATAAATCAGGGAATCGCCGTCCGCGTCCCGCGTTCCCGCCGCCGCACCCTTCTCCACCCTCCGAGGCGGAAGCGCGGGGCCCCCGGGCCGCCGCGTCTGGGCCCTGGCGGGGCACAGTTCGGGCTCCGCGGGGCCCTGCCAGGGCAGGGGGTCTGGGAAGAACCGGGTGGGGGCCGGGCAGGCGGGGACGTCCGCGAGCGCGAGATTTCACACTCCGAGCGGGCCACGCGTTCCCACGCGCCTCGTCGCCCGCACTCTCCTTCCCTCCGGTTTACTCGTCGGCCCTCGGCGAGCCTCCATCGCGGCGCCAGTCTCAGCTCCTCTGCCCCGCGCTCTCTCAGCCTTTCATTCGTCCGTCCCCTCCTCCAGGCCCGGGCGGCGGGTCCCCATCACGGCTGCTGCCCAGACGCACCGGCCGCGCGGCCCGACCAGGGCCCCGCGCAGCCGGTACCCGGAGCTGGCGGTCGGCGGGAAAGCGGCAGAGCGGTGGGCGAGGAAGCCCGGGGACCCCCTTCTCCTCCCGCCCGCAGCCTCCCCCACCCGGTTCCAACTTGCTAGCTCCTCCGGGCCCCTACCCCTCTGCCCAGCCGAGTTGCTGAAGTTTGCAACTTGCAGCCCCAGCCCGCGCAGGGGAAACGCCCGGGGCTCCCGGGACTCACCTCCGGGCTGCGGGCACAGGTGCCCTGCTCTCGGCGGCTCCCGGCTCCCGGCGGCACGGAGCAGCGGAAGCCAACCAGGAAGGCTGGCGGCCCGTCTGGGAATGGGCGGCCGCGCTGGAACGGCCCCCGGCCCTGGGCTCGGCGCTCCCGTGCAGTCCCGACCCGGGCCCCGTGCCGCTGCGCTCGGGCTCCTCCAGCAGCCGCTGGACGCGCGGCCGACCCGCCCGGCTCCGTGGAGCTGGGCTCTGGCAGCAGTCCCCGCGCTCCAACTAGCTCCCGACCCGGAGCGCGGGTGAGAACGGGGAGGAGACGGAGGAAGCCGAAGGAGGGGGGGGGGGGGGAGAGGCGGTGGGAGGAGGAGTTGGGAGAGAGCGGAGGGAAGGAGGGAGCGGGAGCAAAAAGGAGGAGGGGGTTGGAGAGGACCTGCCGCGGCCGGCGCTTCACCCGCCAGCCCCGAGGCGCGCGGAAGAGCGCGAGGGGGCGCCCTGCATCTCAATGTCCCCAGGCTCGGCCCGACTCCCGCCCCTGGCCTGCCTAGTGTGTGTCACCCAGTGGGTGGACACAAGTCCCGCTCCGCAGCCGGCATTCGGACGACGAGACCCAGGTCCTCCTGAGCCCTTGCTACCTTTTGCCACATCCTGCCTTACTGTCCTCGGTGACCCCATCTCGAACCTGACTTCCTCTAGGGGCGTCAGCCCACCAGAACCCTACCCACCCCAACCCTTGGCGCCTGAGAAAAGTCTCCCTTCCCCCCGGCTCCCAAATTCCCCAGCCCTATTAGCTAGGGACGATCTTCCTGCCTGTGGATTTAAACGGGAGAAGGAATCGCGTACAAAACAGGGGAAATCTGGTATAAATTGCGGTCGAAGACGAGGCTGCTGGGCTGGACTGGAAAACCAGAACTGGCTGGATCAGGGTTAACTTTACCAGCTGCACGACCTTGAGGGAACCTCTTCATGCCTCAGTTTCCCCAACTGTAAACTAGGGCTGGCAACACCTACCCTCAGAACGATTTGGGGAACAAGTAGGGGCTGTAGTGAGTAAAAATATCCTCAAGGAACACTGGGAGGACATCCAGGAGATTAGCGATCCCGGGAGGCAGAGGAGTGCTCTCGGCTGAGAGAGAAGGGTTACGGCGATCTCACCGATCAAGGCTGAAATGTTTACAAGTTTAAGCATCTAGTGTTTCTGAAGGCAAGAACCGTGGAGGGAGAGACGGGGGAGGGGGGGGGGGGGGCTTCGAATCCTATCTGCCCGGGCTGCAAGAGGGATGGGAAGGGAGCCCTCTGCTGAACAAAAAAAGGTATTTTAAAATTAAAAAGGTGACCTAAGAAAAGAAAACGAAATAATGAAGGATAAAGACAAAAGACTTGAAAAATTAAACCTCGAAAAGAGTAATTTTAAGAGATAACCACAGAGAACTGTGAAACAAAAATGGGTAAGTCAGAAAAAGGACAACATTAAAAGTCCTCCTGGAGTATGCCAGAAATGGAAGAAGGAGAGTGAATCATTTTATATAACAAAATTCTGGGTAAAGGAAATCCCAGATAAAGCAGAGGAATGGAGACAATAAAAGAACTCCAGAGCTGTGCTTCCCTACACACACACACACACACACACACACACACACACACACACACACACCTGAACCAACATGAGAAGCAATTTGGTCAGGATGATGGGAAAGAGAGAAAGAATCCAAGAAGGGAGTTTATGGGGCACTCTAAAAAAAGGGGAACAGTGCACAGTCTCAGAAATAAAGACTTTTTAGGGCAACAGAAATGCCAGAACTCATAAGGTACAGAGTGGAGAGGAATTGCAAAACTAAGACACACTCTTGACAAGAGGAGAGATACAAAGAGGAAAAAAGGAAGGAAACGTGTGTCAGCACATACCAGCACATACCATCTGGTAGCCCTTCCATTTACTTAGGGGTAGAAATCAACTTCAAAGACGGAATTCAGGGCACTGATCCTGACCTTCTATCTGAGACCCTTCCACTGCTGTGAGAGCTTCTTCCTCTCCCCCCAACCCCCATTCTCATTCCCAACAGAATCATGGAGACAGGTTTTTGCCATTGCAAAAATATAAATGTATGCAATATATAGACACCTTTTAATTAATATGGAAACAGGAAAATATTCGATATACTGTAGGAAAAAAGGGTGAGCAGGAGAGTCTGTCTGTTGGGAGAGTAAACAAAATGCCTTGTGAGCAATTCTGTCTGCATCAGCTCTCTCCTGAAAGGTAAAAACAACCATCTCCATCCTTCATCATATTCTCTCCCCTCCCCCTCTTTCTCCACCGTGTTTGATTGCTTTATCTTTCTGCCTTTCCAACATCACTTCATGCCCCTTCTTGGCTCTCCATCTCCACTTTATGAATGGGTGAATGAATGACAGAGGGCTTGGTGCAGAAAGAGAAGAAAGGAGACCTGAGACCGAAGATTCAGGCCAGGGACTCTTCCTTTCTGGGGGAAGCAGGAGCTAAGAGGCGGAGACGCCCAAGGAGACACAGACAGAGGAGCATAGCTGCTGGGGATGCGGGCTAATTAATCTTAATTGCATCCTACAGTATTGTATTGATTAACAGTGATTACTCAAGAGCTCTCAATAAAAGAGAGCTTCAGAAGTCCAAGCCTCAGAAACGGACAGTTGCTTCACTAGCCTGGCTCACCACATGCATCAGGCATCTCCTGAGTTGGACAAATCCAATCCAGTTAGAATCTCTGACTCATTTACTAGTAACAAAACCTGGAGCATTGACCCCCTCGCTCAGTGTCGCTATCACCTTCCATCATCTTCCTTAAAACTCTGTAATAACCTGTACAATAATTGCTTCTATCAGAAGCAATTCTCTACCTACCGGAAATGTGTTAATTAAGTAGAATGTAAATACAGTAATTAACACAGAATTATCCAAAACAAACATGCTAAAAGAGCAGCGATCATGGTGGGGGGAGGGGGTGAAAAGAAGTTCTTAGAATTCGCTGTTGACCTAGAAATTCCAAACTTATCTTGAACTAAGTTGTCAAGAGGTTAAGAAGGAAGTCCAGATTTTCCTGCTCAAGGATGACAAGACTGAGCACAACACTGCCTCCTGCCTCCCATCTGAGGGCATTTTTCTGGGAGCTCTGGGTACCTCTGAAAAATGAGAGTGCAGCCCTCCCAGGAAGGCGTGTACATGTGTGTATATGTATGCATACATGCCTGTGCATGGCCCAGGCACAGACACAAATCTGGCCTTGTAGCAAAAGGCATACAAACCACAGTCACACATATATTGATAGCAAAGAGAGAGTTGAAAAGAAGGCACCAATCACTTATGATGCCTGAACAGTTTCCTGGTCCCAGAATCACCTGTTTATTGTGCCTGGGGAGAGAAAAGAAAAAAGAAGATTCCCACCCCAGAAGTCATTGTCTAACTGTGAACCGAAAGCACACTTATGTCAGAGGAACTGAAGTGTCACTAAATGGCAGCTTTGCCATTGTCCTGAGCTAAAGTGAGAGAGAAGACCTTCCTTCCTTCTTTCCTCTCCAAACATTTAAGTGCCATTCACTGTGCTAGGTGGAGAGGTCATAGGAAGAGGAGAAAGTCAGGGTCTCACAGGCATACGGGGCAGGGCGGGGGGCGGGGGCAGACATAATCACTGCAAATCTGAGGATTCTGCTGCAGGACCAAAGCTCCACGGGCACGTGGAGGGCCAGTGACCAGCTCCACTCGGCAGGGCAAGGAAGGGCAAAGGGTCCTTCTAGCTGGGAATGGAGACAGGGCAGGAATTTGCCAGACAGAGAAGCAGGAGGAGGCAGAGTATTCCAGGCAGAGGAAATAGCATGTATGAAAGCACCAGGCGATATAATTAGATTTCTGTTTTGGAAGAATTACTTGGCCCTGGCTAACAGATTCAGAGAGAGCTGAAGCAGTAAATGTGAGCAGGTGCGTCGTGTGTTGGAAAAGAGCACTGCACCAGCAGTTAGGGCTTCCCATTTCTAAGACCAGCTCAGGAGCTGATGACCTGGCTGTCCTTGGCCACCCTCTCAAACTCTCTGACCTCAGTTCCTCATGGGTAAAATGAGAGGGGTTGATCAACCGGTTTCCAAGGTCTTCTTTGTACACACATTCTATGATGCTAACTTTTCCGGCAGACAGTCCTTAAAATTATGTTTCTTCACTAAAGTATGCACTTTGTCCTTTCCACGTGTGTAGCAATTTCAGCTTGCAAAAGTACTTTCCATTCGATACGTTTTGACCTTCATACTCCTGTGAAGGAGATGGCTCCATGACACTGCAGACAGTCTTGTCCAGCTCCGTGGTGGTAAACACCATCTCTGTGATGATGACGTCCAAGTTTGTGTCTGTGGCTCTGACCTCTCTCTTTTGAGACCCAAATGTACAGACCTAACTATCTGCTCCTTTCGTCCACGTGAACATCTAGTAGGTATCTCGAGCTTAACATTCCCGAAATCTAACTTCCAATTTTCTTTCCTAAAACCAGCCCTTCCTTGTGACGTCCCTAATCTAGTAAATAAAAACTCTGTTCTTTGCATTCCTCAAGGCCAAAATCTTGAAGTCATCTCACGCTCCACATCCAAGCCGTCATAAATTCCATGGTCTTGACCTTTGACATATTTTCAGAATCAAACTACTGCTCACCCCCTCCTCCACTAGCACCCCAATTCAAACCACTATCTTCTCTCACCTGGATGTTTGCTCTGCCTGCTTTCACTTCTGCTGCTATAGTCTGTTCTCTGCACAGAAGCCATTCCAAGTCAGATCCCGTCACTCCTCTGCTCAAACACCTTCCACAGCCCTGCAGCTCACCAGAGGAAATGCCACATCCTTAACAAGCCCATAAGACTTTCTGACACCATCTCCTGCCACTCTCCCCTTCTTCACTTCTCTTTCGCCTTACCATCCTCTCCGCCATTTCCCAAACACCCAAGGCTGCCGCGTCAGGGCCTTTGCACTTGATGTTCTCCCTGCCTGGAAAGCTCTTTTGACAGATGTTCACATGGGCAGTTTCCTCACTTTCTTCAGTCTTGTTCAAATATCAGTTCATTAGAGGTACATTACTTATCTTTTCAGAAATAACAAACCCTTAGGGGCATGTGGGTGGCTCAGTCAGCTGAGTGTCTGACTCTTGATTCCGGCTCTGGTCATGATCCCAGGGTCATGGGATTGAGCCCCACATTGGACTCTGTGCTGGGCATGGAGCCTGCCTGAGATTCTCTCTCTCTCTCTCTCTCTCTCTCTCTCTCTCTCTTTCTCTCTTTCTCCCTTTGCCCCTCTCCCCCACTCTCCCTTTCTCTCTAAAAAAAAATAATTAAAAAAATAAAAAAACAGAAACAAAAATAACAAACCCCTTTCACCTTCTATCCTCATTCAACAATGTACATACATGCTTATTTATTGTCTATCTTCCCTGACAAGAATATGAATTCCGCGAAAGTGGAGACATTGTCTGCTTTGTTCAT